AAAAGTTTTCAACTTCAGCAAATTTTTGGTTGTCACTAATTATCATTGTAGTACTTTTTTCTTCCTATCTTGGACTTATTTTTGTGAAATAAATGACAGAAGCATCCAATAAGTTGTATTTTAATAAAATTAATGCTGCTGACAAAATGCGAGCTTAAAATCAACAACTCTTTTTATGCACAAATTAGTGTATGTTTTTGTAATGTTTTTGTTTGCGTTTAAAAGTCATAAAATTTTGTGTTTCAATCATTTACATTGTAATTTTGAAATGGAATTGAATTTTGTGCAAAAATAAATGATATGAGATGTAAAGGGTAGACACCATATCAGTTATTAAAAAGCATACATGGAATTGACTTGTTGTATTTCTATTGACTTCCATACTATTTGCTTATGCATCACTACTGAAATATTAGTTCACTGTCTGCACTGCTTCTGACTACCCTTTCATGACCAGTTTGAAAATGATTGTTGTTATGTATGTAAGATAATGCAAATTATTACATAAGAATTTATTTTAGCTGTGTATTTGAAATGAATGTGTTCTGCAGAAAACTTCCAGCATAATTGCAACGGAAAACTTCCTTAGTATCAGCCATAAAAAGTCTTTGGAATCAACAAACTTTTGTTAACTTTTATATTTCGAAGAGTTTGGCCTCTTTTACAATGTTTTTGTAAAATATTAGTAAAAGAAATTTTTTACATTTGAAACCTCCCGTATAACAAATATTAGACTTCTTGATTTATTTCAGTCATTATGCAATTTTATAAATAATGCAAATGCTGATTTCAGAGCAGAATTCACATCCATGAAGCATTAATTAAAGTTTTTATACAAACAATGTGTGCATGCAACAAAAAGCAATGTAAGCAAACAGTAAGAAAAAATATCAATATTTTCAACGAGACCGTATCAAAGAAAATGAAATGAACTTCAAAAATATCTCCGCTCGTTCTGCTTCTGTTCTGCATTTTTTCAACAATTAAACACGTGTAAACACTAATTTAGATTTGTCCGCACTGGATAAAATTCTAATACATTCAACATGTGCAGCTTTACGATGAATGCTTCTTATCTTTGAGGTTATTTATGATTTTTATTCCATAGTTTGTTCATAACTATGAATACAGTACTTCATTCATAGAATTGAATAAACTTTAAACTAGGAGATAAATATAAAATAGTGCTAAACCATTTTTGTTTGCATATGAAAAGTTTGGGTTTACTGCATCGTAAATTGCAGAGTGAATTCAGTTTATTAAGAGACATGATATCAAAAAATGCTTTTTACTAGAATGATATCATCAATTAGCATCATTTACAAAAAAGTAATCTATCTATAGCAATATTCCCCATTCTCTGCTTATTTCAAACCTCCATGAATCGACTTTCTGGATTATTTTGGTCAGTTAATTTTGTTGGTTGCTGTGCATAAAATTGCAAAGTAAAAGGAATCAACTTATGTAATAAATTTTAGCACCTAAGTATCAGTGCAGTTTATTAAATTATAATTTTGATTATTATTGCAGCTATAACTAGAATAATTTTCGTTTCTTAATTAATGGAGAACTGTTTCGAAACAACAATTTAACGTTTAATTTAGTATGCTTTCAAAATTAATGTCAAAGAATAATTAATGAAAAGTACAAAAAGTATATATTTCGGATATCATATTTGTAAATGTAGTGTGTTGGGAACTGTTAATTGGTAAATTTTTAATTTGCAAAAATCATAATTATATTATGAAGGTGACTTATGATGCATTATTTTGAAAAACATTACCTGCGGTTATAATACCGTTAAGCACAAAGTTGCTTTGTCAACAAAAAGTATATTGAAGTTCAATTATCCTTGGAATATTTTCCTATCTTAACAAATAAATATCAAAATACTGGATTCAGCTGTGTGAATTAAGAACCTCTTCTTCCAGCCACATTAATTATTAATTAAAGTTTTCAATAGTTTTCTTCTTTATCATTGTTATTCATTGTTCTGCACACTACTATTAATCTAAATACAATGAAGTTAGTGAGTTTTCCAATATACTAACTTCCTTTGTTAATAATTTTCGTCTAATACGGATGAATGGATGGATGATAGCTTTTCTATTATTGCCAGCCAAAGATCCATGTAATATTCATTCGAATTCGCATTCGCATCATTTGCAGCGGTTGACACGAGCAATAGTTGAAGTAGCTGAAGCGTTCTCCTTACTGCAAGGATTTTAGTTAAAATGTAATGCACTGTTTTGTCTGAGCTAAATTGTCGTACCGATAAAAATAAAAAACTGAAATCTAAAATCGCGAATATTTTTGCAGTTTTTGTTGTTGTAATGGGATCAATTTTTTTGAAGAGATCGTTACAAATGCCTCAGCTACATAAACTATATTTCGTGTCGAGCGCTGCAAATGATGCGAATGCGAATGCGAATGAATATTACATGGATGCTTTGGCTGGCAATAATAAAAAAGCTATCATCCATCCATTCATCCGTATTAGACGAAATATATTAACAAATGAAGTCAGTATATTGGAAAACTCTATAACTTTATGTCATTTGAGTTATTAGTGATGTGCAAAACAATATTCTTTTATGGCTTGAATGTAAAATATTAAATTTTACAAAAGTACACTATACATGTTATGAATGTAATGATCATTTACAAATTTAGAAATTCGTTCCTCTTTTTCATACTGAATTGCTCTCATAAAAATCCTTACGAAAAATCATAATTAGTTGACAACCAAAATCATTGTGATAAACTTATAATATCAAGTTCTGCTAACCACTTAAAAAAAAAGTTTTTAAAAGCTACCAAGGAGTTGGCACCCAAAATGTTATGGAATATTCGTAATTGAACGCTTTCAGTATCATTTATTTTAATTTCTACCCCTCGACGGTAAGCTTTATTTGGTTAATTATAGGCGCAAAATGTACTTGCTAATGATCATATCCTCATTACTGGCTACGACCATATACATCTCAGTTGGCATGAATGCACTCAAACAGGTATTAAATTGTTTTTGAACTAATCAATCATTTCTTATAAGTGTTTGCTTATTACTCAGTTGAACTTCTGGACTAAAGGCAGTTTTTTTCTCAACCTTTGCTGTCAAGTTGTCTGAAAATTGGTTTTTATGTGCTTGATCCTTGCACACTTTTTACTAACTCTATAAAAAATTCTAAAAATTGTTATTAGATGAAAATTTTCATTTTCTAAGAAGTTATATTAAGAATTGAATCATTAAAAGTGTCCATCCTTTTATTGACAGTGGACCCTTTTTTGAAGAAGACTGAATGGAAATAACAATTTTGTTACGAAAAAATGATTCTAAGAATTTGCAAACTTTCATTATCTGATGATCAAATGCTGTTCACAACATTCTAACTAGATTTCATAAAGTGACCTTTTGACTTTATTAGCCAAAAATGAGAGCTAAAATTTAATTTATAAATAGTTTATGTCATCACTGGATTAAGAATTTGTCACAAAATATCGAGTACCAATATTATTTATTTCACCAATGAACATTCAAATATAATCAAAAAATTTGTAAGCTAAACCATTTTCCATATTTGCAACTCAAAAATTATTTTGAGTTTATAAATGAAGAAATAACCAAAATGTATTTATAAATAGCCTATAAACGTGAACTGTTGGTTGATATAGGCAAATTAACATGGACTTCTTCTGATGATACTTTATGGAAGCTTCAGCTGCTCCAAGTATAATCATTATAACTATCTACATATCAATTAAATTTACTAGTAAACCATTCTTTTTAATGCATGAGCTTATTGTAAGCCCCATAACTTGCAGCGTATATGCATGTTCATTGTATATCCATAGCTGAAATTATTCATGATTTAAGGATTGCAATGATAGTCTCCTACTGTTCAGGACTTCTACCCTTCTGCAGTTGATGTTAAATCAGTAATGCAATTAAAGATGCCAGTATTTAATGAAATATTTGTGCATATACTACTCTGTAACGACAAAATATCATAATTAGAATCTGTTTTTTGTCATGTCTCAAATTGATATATCAGGTTCTCTAAGTTGGTTTGTTTGATACTGCAAGTGATAAATTGAGTACAAAAAAAAATTAAATATGTCATAATGAGATATGAACGAGCTGCTTTGGCTTAAATTATTATGACTACTAATGAATTTTCTGCTACTTGAAAAACTGTAAATGTTGTCATCTTTATTTTATGAAACAGAGTTCTTTAATAACCTATGATAGTTTTATTCCATCAATCACAAACGTGAAAACCTGCTAAATTTTAGTATCCAACCGAAATCGCTATTCAAAAAGTGGTGAAGGACTTTGCCTTTTGACTTTCGTGCATGCTCAGATTTCAATTTTTTTTTTTGCGTCTTTTTTATTGTGTTTTCCAAGCATAAAAGCATTTCATTAAATCCTTCAAGACTTTTAGAATTATTTTCTGGAAGAATTAAAATCATTTTTTCAAGTTATAAAACAAAAATGTGAGATTAAATGGGCAGTTCATTTTCTTTGACCAATTTTTTATCCCTTACGGTAATTTCATAGATGGTTAACAGTTCTAATGCAGTCACTAAAATAGTTTTTTTTCGTTACAATTATTTTGCAAAAGAACAGCTCATCTTGTGATGTGATTATTGCATTTAGTTCAAGTTTTTGGCTGTCTCAAAAGTTGAGATTAGTTAAAATTATTTATCGTCAAACACGCAACATCTTTACTTTGAATTTTGAAAAAGTAATTAGCAGTTTTTTTGTGCATGCAAACATCGTAACTTGTTATAAATGATGTTAAGAAGACATTAAATTAATGGAATTTAAAAATTTTTCGAACTCTAACATTTCAGCCTGAGCCTTCTTAAAATCGATCTTTAAATGACAGCATATGTAAATCATTGTTAGATTAATCGATAATAGTGATTGTTATCAAAAGTAAACTAAATGTAAGAGTTTCCCCAGGCATATTGTGTTAAAATTAATTACCAGATAATAAATGTTGCAGCAGATGTCTGACACTGTTTCACATGCACAATTGACTAATGTACGTCAAATTAAGATACCTGGTGATGTAATCATAGGTGGAGTTTTCCCAGTTCATGCGAAAAGTGAGTCAGCAGATGACCCTTGTGGTATCATTGCTGAAACAAGGTTGATTCTTTCATATTTTATTGAGAGAAAAAAAATGAAAATATAATTCATTACTTGCTGTCTTTAATGTTGAGTTGTTTCAGAGGTGTCCACAGAGTGGAAGCAATGCTCTATGCATTGGATGTTATCAATTCACAATGGGAATTTCTGCATGGTTATAAATTGGTTGTTAATTTTTGAAATACGACCTATCACTTTTTTTCCTTTTTCGCTACACAGTGGAAAGTAAACTACTATAAAGAGTTCAAATTGAACAATGACATATGCAAATATAATTACGATTTTAGGGTGCATTAATATTAGACTCATGTTCAAATCCAGCTTATGCTCTGAATCAAAGTCTAGACTTCGTACGTGATTTGATTGGTTCAACAGAGTTTACTGAATATCAGTGCCGTGATGGTAGTCATCCGCAAAGACTACATTTACCACAAAAAAATGTTGCTGTGGTTGTTGGTGGTAGTTACAGTTCTGTTAGTGTGCAGGTACTGCAGTAATGCGACCTAAATGTACTTGTAATTTCAATTCATAAATCCAACATTAAATAGTAAGTAATTCATGAAATAAAAAAATAGCAATACAGGATACTTACCAAACTTGTTTATCACTTCAAATATAAGCAGGTCAAATTTCTCCGAGATTATTTTCCGCGCCCACTTTGTTTCGTCCATCTCATATCCTTGTACTTCTTGCATCAGCACTAGGTATTTCTCCTTTACATTCAGATAACCCTAAGACTCGTGCAGCGTATTTTGTTCGAAGTACGTATTATCTGCTTTGACACGTTTTGTTGACCAAGAACCGTTTCCGGGAGCACGGACGTCCTGCATACTGATGCATACTGATGATTGCAGCATTCGTTTTTTTTTCAGTTTTGAAGCTTGATCGCGCACACAAACTTCTCACAATACAGGGAACACATAACGGCCATCCCCCTCTCGGCATCTTCCTGAAACGATTATGAACTATCTTCAGCACTTTCCTAGCCATCTGCCTTGCGGAACCTCGATTTTTCCAATAAGTACCTCAAGTATAATGGCAGAGTGCCAGTACACTGGAACCAGGAATCAAAAGGATGATTATGCTTCACGAAGCTTTTCACAACATCATCTGTTTTCCCACTGTTTTCTACTATGATCCCAGATGTGAGTTTTCTCCGTTCATCCTCCATGTTCTTCTCAGACTTCGGCTATCCTGACTGTATGACCACACAGCATTCTTCTTCTCGGTTTCCATCTTGTTTTGAACCGAGCTTTTCTTCCGTGTTAATCTTCTTCACTTTTTTCCCTTATTTCATCTTCGTTGCTTCAGAAGTACTGCAACAAGGGGTTGTATGAGCATTGTCGTTATAGTCTGTCACTCCTTTTCGCTTCTTGGAAGTCACCTGTGATGTGGAAGGTCCTTCAGTGATTCGTTCCCAGCAATTAGATAACTGATCTACTGGTCTGTTGGAGTGTTCTCTCGTACTACTACCATTTCCAGATATACATATAAGGCATCCAAAGGTGGCGGTTTCAGAAGAATGCTCACAACACGTACTTGGCAATTATTGTGCCCTATTTAAAAACTAGGTACAACCTCGCAGAAATTGCAAACGTATTAGCAGCCCAGAAGGCGTTCTTGTATAGCGAAATAGAAAAGAAAACCCACCATGCAAAGCTATACAAGATGCGGACGAATAAAATCTCGTCCATAGTTGATTCATCAAAATGGTTACGATACGGAGACATTACCCCACAAGACGATACTGTAATCTGCAAGATAGAAATATGTTTGAGGCTGAGAAAGGTATGTGCTAACATTATGGGGAACGTGTGAAGACAGAGGACCATCCAGCAACGCACTGCGGAAAAATATTACATCACGACA